TAACAGCAATAAGAATACGTAGTTTATTCCCGGAAGATATCGTCTCTCTCCCGTATATAATATCTCATTGGAACCGATATATCCCGGATATTAAGTGGAAGACAGTCTGGATGATCCCCCAGAAATATTTGATTGTAAATAAAGTGAAAGAATTATCATTTAAACTTCTACATAAATGTTATCCAGCCAGTCATTACATGGTAAAATTTAAAAGGGACATAAATACTAATTGTACTTTCTGTGGGGATCATCCAGAAACTGTGACACATCTTTTTTGGTGCTGTTCTTTTACACAAAGATTCTGGAAGGAATTTAGCAGGTTTGTTACTGTCCATATTTTAAGGGAGTTTTCTTTATGATGGGAAATGTTTTTTTCTGTTTCTTTAAGTTCCCCATGAAGAATGATAAATGTTTTTTTTATGATGAATCTGTTAATACTCTTAGCTAAATTCTTTATTCATAAATGTAGGTTTACCAACAAAACACCATATTTCTGTCATTTTTTTAAGGATGTGGAATTGTACATAAAATCAATATCAGAATCCACCAACAAAAAGGCTCTCAAAACTATACATATATATATATATATATATATATATATATATATACATATATATATATATATATATATATATATATATATATATATATATATATATATATATATATATATACATATATATATATATATGTGTGTGTGTGTGTGTGTGTGTGTGTGTGTGTGTGTGTGTGTGTGTGTGTGTGTGTGTGTGTGTGTGTGTGTGTGTGTGTGTGTGTGTGTGAATTTTGTGTGTATTCTTATAATTGTTACTTTTTTCTTTTACCCCTGGATTTGTAAAAAGGGAGGCTGCTGATGAGTCAGTGTGCATCGGATACAGCTGACGGCTGTACTCTGTGTTCCCTTGCATGTCTGTTACATTCCAGGGTGTCTGGGGGACCTGGGGTAACACTAGCGGGATCTGGGGTAACACTAGGGGGACCTGGGGTAACACTAGGGGGACCTGGGGTAACACTAGGGGGACCTGAGGTAACACTAGGGGGACCAGGGGTAACACTAGGGGGACCAGGGTTAACACTAGGGGAACCTGAGGTAACACTATGGGGACCTGAGTTAACACTAGGGGGACCTGAGGTAACACTAGGGGGACCTGGGGTAACACTAAGGGGACATGGGGTAACACTAAGGGGACATGGGGTAACACTAGGGGGACCTGATGTAACACTAGGGGGACCTGGGGTAACACTAGGGGGACCTGAGGTAACACTAGGGGGACCTGGGGTAACACTAGGGGGACCTGAGGTAACACTAGGGGGACCCGAGGTAACACTTGGGGGACCTGAGGTAACACTAGGGGGACCTGGGGTAACACTAGGGGGACCTGAGGTAACACTAGGGGGACCTGGGGTAACACTTGGGGGACCTGAGGTAACACTAGGGGGATGTGGGGTAACACTAGGGGGACCTGGGGTAACACTAGGGGGACCTGAGGTAACACTAGGTAACACTAGGGGGACCTGGGGTAACACTAGCGGGACCTGGGGTAACACTAGGGGGACCTGGGGTAACATGGCGGACACGTCATGCAGTTGGTAACAAAAGGTCGAACAAGACAAAGTGAACACAAACGGGCCTAAGCCAGATTTAAACAGGAGAGCTCTAAAACTCTCTAAATGTAACAGAAACAACGATTCTCAAACACCGCTCAATCTGGTAGGTTTATGATCGTAATCTGCATTTTTGTTTCCTCCAACAAGAGTATTTCTGTCTACTTTGTTACGGGCAGTGGCAGACACGTTTCCTCTGAATCGGAGGCTTTTACACCTTGGAACTGGGAACCACCAGTCCACCTGCAACGTGGACTCCAACAGGAGAACCATGCCTTCCACGGGCTGGGAGCGGCAGAGAGCCATGGTAAAACATCCTGTGGCAGGATCAGAGGTTAAAAATGGGAAACGGCACAAACGGCTCTGGCCGTAACAGCCTCGTCGGTTAAAGCCATGGTTTCATGACGATGTTTAAAAACCAGATGTAAATGCATTCGTTTCAAATGGCGTCATGATTTGTAATGAAATGAAAATCGTTAAATCATTAAAATATCGTCAGCAGGTAGGAATGGTATCAGCAGAGGGTTTCGCCGTACTGTTAATGCACCGCATCGCTGGTAGCTCATGGAGATCTGCCTCAGTGGTGGGGGGTTCACATCCCTGGTGACCATCACACCTTTATCCTGGAGAGGAAAATTGACCTGGAAATTTGCTAATATTCTGTTGACATCCCACAGAAGATCCGGTCCAGGTAGATTCAGGACATGTTGGAGAGATTCCACATCGGCCAGGAAGCAACTGGCGATGCTGCCGGTGGAGCTGGTGGAGTTTTCCGGGGAAAGGCTAGTGGAGCTGTTGCCTCCACGACCCAGAATCAGATAAACGGGTGGAAATGGACAAACGGGGCTGTACACGGCTTCAGACTGCAGATTAAGAGCAACATTTTTGCTAATGTTATAGAAATCTGTCATTGTGGTTTGGAGAAAAAAAAAGAGTTCGCCATCTGGAACGTCAGAATGTCTCTTCTTCTCCAGTCAGTCGCCAACCTCTCAAAAACACGTCATCTACAGTTTCTGACTGAAACTGAGAAAAGCTAGAGACGGGGTTCCGACGCTCACGATGACTGTAGGCGGAGAACGGTTGCCTTGGAAACCTTTTCTAACATCTTCACAAGTAGCAGTTGCAGCGTGTGACCTGCCTCCGAACACTCGAGCCCAGCGATGAACTCTTTAGGAGCTACGGAAACGTGGACTCTGAACTGGGATAATCATTAGCTATAATTTATACTTAATAATAATAATGCATTGAACTTATATAGCGCTTTTCTAGACACCCAAAGATGCGTTCACACACTCTCACATTCACACACTGCTAGTGATGGTAAGCTACTTGTAGCCACAGCCGCCCTGGGGAGGTCTGACAGAAGCGAGGCTGCCATTTGGCGCCGTCGGCCCCTCTGACCACCACTAACACAGGCAAGTTGGGTGAAGTGTCTTGCCCAAGGACACAACAGCAGAATACCCCTGGCGGGAGCTGGAATCGAACCCATGACCCTCCGATCATGAGGCAACCCGCTCTACCACCTGAGCTACTGCTGCCCCACACTGGAAAGACTCCAGTGACATCACATCCTAATTATGCGTCTGCGGTTGCCATAGCTACACTTGTTACAGGGATAACAACCTTTATGGGTCATACATGATGTGCCATTCACATCTATGTGACGTAGCGAAACGCTGGACCCGTTTTCTTCGTGACTAGATTTTATTTTTTCTGTAAAGCAGTTAGACCTGAGTAAGAAGTCCGTGTCTGTCCAGTTTATCTCCCGTCCGAAGCCCAGGACTACCACCTGATGTGTTTTATGCTAGCAAGTTCATTTCTAGATGGGATAAATGCAGCAAAAACGTTACGGAAAAACTTCCCAAATAAAATAAGCACATTTGTGTTAGCTTAGCGTGTTGGAGCTTGGGTGTCCATCTGTGTCTGACAGAGTGGGGAGGAAGGGGAGGAGCTACAGCTGCCAGAGAGGAAGAAACCGTAGCTATGGCAACAGTTCAGGTCTCATAAAGTCGACAGTTGTGTTTTCTGAAGGGGAACAGAGAAAAGGGACAAACTGGTGCACTGGAGTCCGCTCCGTGAGACCGGAGATGTGTAGTTCTGCACCACCAGTAAGCTGTCACCATGAGAGATGCAGCAATTACTGTACAGCCAGTATGCTGATGCAGCCCTGCGCCGCGAGAGGGGGGCTGGCTGACCGACCCTTGGGCAAGGCATTTAACCCCACGAGCGCATAAGCAGCACTAAACGGTGGGCCGTGTGTGTAGAAGAGGTTCTGCCATGTTTTCCATGTTTCCACGAGCGAAAAAGGAGTCGAGTTTGGATCCAGACTCAAGTAAAACGTTGACCCGAGGCGGTGTGGTGAGCACGCTTTGCAAAAATCTAAAAATGCACAGAAACCCTAAATGAGCCAACATTTAGCTTTTTATTAACCATTGATTCGGACTCGTGCTAGCAACCTCTGCTGAGTCTATTAGGTCTTAACTTTCTTTGTTAGCTGGTTATTTTTGGGGTGAATGGCCAAGAATTAGTAATCCGTATCAAACCTTAAACAGAAACAAAAACCAGACTGGAAGTTTATCACAAACGTCTCGTTGAGTCCTCCTCTGGCTTCACAGCTTCCTCGTTCTGGTTTCTGTGACTGGGCCAGAGGTCAGCCCAGTGAGTCGGATGAAAACAGCTGATTGTCCGGAAGACCATTAAAGAAAATTGCTGAGGAGAGTGAGATGCCTTCCCAGGCGGCCTCTGGGTGCCGCAGCAGCGGCGCTACGGTAAAAGGTGCCGGCTCAGTAAATGATGTCAAAAGCAGTCGGGCTGTGAAACGTTTCAGACGTCGGAGTAAATCACAAGTTCCAGATGCATCAATCTGAGCTTTGACGTTCACACAAACCCTTTTCTGTGAAAACACTCCTGTGTGCTCAGGAGAGCAAAGCATCCACCACATATTTTGTTTTCCTCACATTTGTTTGCCCTTCTGCGTGTCCCTGTTCTTTGTCACGGCTACGCTCAGCCACAGCTGGAGAATGTGGTTTGGCTGAATTCTTGACTTAACACAAAGCTATTGTTATCTAAAAATATAAAGAGAGAGAGAGAGAGAATGGAAAAGGCCCTCCTGGAAGCACACACAGTCTTCTCGCCCTGGTTCAGAACACACAGCAGCAGCGGGACACTCAGGAGCACCAAACCCAGCACTGAATGGCAGCAGGCCATCTGAGCTGCTGCATTCATGCATGAGGTCAAACCATGCCCAATGTCCGCTTGCTTCACGCAAAAGCCCTCAGTAAGCAGCCACGGCGAAGACTCACGTGGTCTGCTCGTCTCAGCCAACACAGACGAGTGAAGAGGCGGCAGGGTGGCACAACACTGACAAAAACCTGCACCGTGTGGTGGATCCATACCTGCCATCATCTTCTGGGCTTCGTACGGCTCCATGTAGCCGTCATTCTCAGTCGTGACTTTTTCAGTGGTGGTCGGAGCGCCGCCGGCCTGCTCAGCATCGAAAGGGTCGGCGTAGTCTTCAAGAATAATCAGCTGCAGGCGACAAGGGAAAGAAGATGTCAGATTAGGAGGAAGAGCAGCTCAGTGGGACACAACAGGATAGGTACAGCTTGTGCTACAGGATGCTGGAGCCCGCACACGCCCCAGCCCACCCGCCTTCGGCCTTACATCACGGCTCTGCCCAACTACACCAGAGGGAGCCCGGTGACAGGCCTACGGTTTACATGTGGAGGACAGAAGACCACAACTGCTCAACTTTCTTAACAGAAACAATTTGGCAGATTTATGCCAAGCTTGCAGCGAGCCAAGGCTAATTGCAGCGTTGCTCTTTGGCGGAGTTTTCTCTGCAGAAGATGGCAATTAGGTGGATGTCCTAAGATCCAGAAATACAGCTGAAGGGACACAGCGAGTCCACCGGTACGGTGCCTTCAGGGGCGTTTGGCTTCATCTATCAGATGCTGGCTCTAATGAGGGTGAAGGACTGCAGGAGTCCAGTCCAGGTGTTAGAAGAGGTGCTTTTCTCAGGTCCACCACATGAAACGGGCACACCGAGTTCAACAAGCGTCTCAATACAGACAAGTTACTTAAACGAACCTCTGAGCTCACCAGGAAATGACTCAGCACACATGTCGACAGGCACTACACCCGCTGAGTCAGAACAACAGGAAGAGGTTTGATTTCATTATAAACAAACTCCGCAGTCATCAGATGGAAGGGGCGGGGCATGAAGGGGCTGGACGCCGGTTTCATCAGAACCACCGCTGACCAAGCACACTCCCTCCATGTGTGGGCCACACACACACACACACACACACACACACACACACACACACACACACACACACACACACACACACACTTAGGAGCCAAAAAGGTTGTTTATTCTTATTCAGCCATGTAGGAATACTCCTGCTCGGATAATCCCGACTGCACACGGATAAGGAGGTTAGATCCATGGATGTGTTCGCAGCAGCAGCCGTGTGTTAAACGGTATTCCCTCTCCGTCTGCTTGTGCGGGATACAACTTTTTACTCCTACCACAGCTTAATTACGGGTTGCTTCATTCAATGTTTTGCTTCTGTAAATTCAAACGGAGGGAAATCTGAAATGCAAACATCTTCCTGGTTTGGTTACAGCTCACATAAAATATACATCATTTCTGCAGCAGTCTGATTAAAATGCCGCCGTCCTGATACGAATCATCGTTTCAGCCCAAGAGACCCGGGAGTTTAGCATCCCCACCATCACCATTCTGCATCTTGTTGCATGGAAACTCAGCCATCAGGAATCCAGCCGTGTGCTGGATCCACCTCCGACGCAGTCAAACACAAACATCCCAGCCTCGAAGGCACGGCAGAGACGAGAACTCCGCAGGTCAACCACCTGGTCGAGCACCTTTAGCGTCTGAACCCGTTTTCAAAGAAAAACTACTGAAATAAAAAATCCCCAAAAAACGAGAAATAAATAAATACTCGTTGCTTTATTCTGTGAGGGTTAAAAGTATTTTTAATCTTCGGATGAAGTTACAGATTACTAAATACCTGAATGGCTTCTCTGCTCAGAGAAAACACGTTTATACACCATAAGATTGATGTGCTAACAGCTAGTGTGAGTGCACTGCTGCCACCTTCCAACGTCTAAAACGTCCTGGAGCATTGTTCCGTTGAAACAGCAGCAACGACAGTCTGCGTCGGGTCCACCGAGATCAGAACTAGTTTGTTCAAATGGACCCAAAGTTTCCGTTGTTCATCCAAACAACGTTTCATAAACCTCGGCACAGTTGTACGTTGCACGCTGTTGCAGGAATATTATAGATCTAAAGATTCCTGCAGGACTCGACTCTTAAAGGTCCAATAAGTGATTTTACAGATAAAAATCACAAGCGTCTCACTCGTGTTGGAAGGAAGGTTTCACTCAGAATCCGTCCTTAGCCGGCTGGAGGGACTCCAGAGGCCAAAGAGGGACATGGTACGATCAAGCAGACCGGAGGAGATTGGACCAGTTCTAGGACAGAAGCACACGCTCTGATTTTGGCTGTGGTTGGACTAGCCATTAGCTTATCAATCCTGGTGGACATGAGCACCATTTCTCTGAACTGAGGTCATAAAGTATTTATAACTTTTACCCAAAACACACCTAAAAATGTCCAGAACCTGCGGGTCTGTGATTGGCTGGCAGCATTTCTGCGGTTTTACATCACAAAGGTAGATTTTACAGAATATTTGTTTCAGCTGAACCTCCTTGGTGACCCAGGACACGACTCAGGAAGTAACGGGAATAACTTATTGAGTTATGCTCACAGAGCCATTCCAAATGCATGACATCACTGTGGACATGATGCAGGACGGCCGATTCGATGAAACATCCCGATGGGAGGGAGGGAGCAATACGACCCGGAGTAAAAACACTCCCCTTCTCTTCAGGTCGTCTATCGCAGCCCCAACACGCTGAAGGTGCTGCTTAATATTCTCCATCGCTCCGACATGTCCTTCCTGTCCCACCTCACCTAACAGAAGGAGGGGAGCGGGGTTGTGAGGACAGGGGTGCGGCGGCACCTGGGGACACACCATCTGCCTCGTGGCATGCCAGGGTGTGTCAGGACTGCAGCCAAGCCACACTCCCCATCGGCACAGCAACGCCTCCGTCTATCAGGCCTCTGCTAAGCTGGGATGTGAGTCCATGTGAATCCCACAAAGCCACCCGATAGGCCCGGGGCGCGTCCCTGTGGTGGCCGGGTCTGTCTCCGGTATCCAGAGAGCTCATTCTGATCCTGGCCGGCCTCGGCTTGTACCTGCCACAGCTCTAGCGGCTCACAGCTGATGCTTCTGGCCTCAGATCAGCCATAAAAGAGAGAGAAATGTTAGCAAAGCAGGAAGTCTGCAGCAGGCACCTGCCACTTTAGCTCAGTGTCTCGATGACAGCAGAGCTTCTAGGATTACGCCGTTATTCCAGCCGGCGTTCCCATTAGGAGAGAGAAAAAATGGGCTGCAGCTCTCCTCCGGCACCCTTAATGCATCGTGGCTTCGGCCCGCCCATCAGACGATCGGGGACAAAAGAATGAAAACGTCACGAACTACATTAGTGGAAATTTGAGCAGAGGGAGTTTTATATTTATGGGGGGGGGGGGGGGGGGTAGCAACAACAATCAGACGCATTTAAAGCAGCAGCAAACATCTGAGATCACCTGGATGAAAACAATCAGAGCTGCAGCATTACGGTGGAGGTGGAGTAGGGGCTGGTGAAGGCTGAAGCCCGCTGAGGCGGCCAGAGGAGTCAGCAGACTGGAGAGGACTGGCGTGTGTGATGAATGTCTCCCGCCAGCAGGGACCTCAGCACCGATAACCTAACACAACCAGTGCTGAGCAGCTCGGCAGCACCACGGCGTTCTGTTGTGAGGAGAGCAGATAGGACGGCTGGGACGAAGACGCAGGATGAGCAGACGCTCTGGCTGGAATCCAGTAGAACACGACCTTTATCCCAGTAAACATACTGGGATAAAGGTCCGACTCACATCCAGACCGCTCCTTCCTGCCGGCCCATGCTCTGGCATTCACCCTGAGATAACTTTTACTTTGTTCCAAACAAAAACACCAGAAACACAAACTCATTTCAGCTCATTTGTTGTCGTAACACACTTCCTACCAGTAAGAAGCTTTCCTGGTTGCAGGGAACAAGAACAACTGCGGTTCCACTTGTGGGGACCGAGCCCTGCTGGCTCCCTCCCAGGCTGCTGATGGGAACGCCGCCTCCATTTCCCAACACTCAGTCCTGACATTAATGAAACTTTACTGAAGTGTTTCCAGAGGGAGCCGGTAGCCACCGCAGCGTCCTGCCTCTCTGGCAGCTCGGGAGGGTGAGGTCCCTCCTACTTAGGAGGCTGCAGAGGTAGCTCATCAAACGCTTATATTTGCTATAAACGTGTGGCTTTGTGATCCGTCACAAGCCAGTGCCGTCCACACGCTGATGAAGACGAACCAAGACTGGCTTTGCTTTTAGCCTAACGCAGTAGGAAGCACACTACTCGTCACTGAGAGCCCACTACACAAGAAGCATCAACTTCATAGGAAAGAAACAGAATCGAGCGTTTCTCTTCACACGTCAGCGTCCTCCACCATCAGCTCTGCACGTGTCTCCCTCTGACACATCTGCACCGAGCATGTCTCGCGTTTACTACACACCCGTCTCCTTTTTAGGGCTCAACCACATCAAACTGTTGGTTCTTCTAATCTCCCTACTCTCACCCGTGTGAGGCGGCCCTCGCACGCCACCGGGAACCCTCAAACTGAAGGCGGTCCTTCTGTGTGGGTCCAAGACATGAGTGGCCAACATCTTCCCAGAAGAGGTCCAGATGTTCATCAGGGTGCCTCCATAATATCATCAACACCGGGGGGGGGGGTATTATGGGACTGGATCAGACATAAACCACCAGCCATGGAAGAGAGCACCACAGCAGACCTGGAGAAGATCGGTGGAGGCTGAAGCACGGCCACTGAGGGGTGTGCTACCAGGAGCAGACAGCAGCATTTCTGACTGCTGTTGATGACGTCAGCACAGGAATGTGACGCAGCAGCTCCACCACCATGCAGATGTTTAGGTTGTGGTGTTTAGATGCCACTAGGAGGCAGAAACACCAAACCACAGAACTACAGGACACATCTGGTTGTGTTGGTGCTGCTGCTGAAGAAAGCAAAGGAGTGCAGCTGCTATGGTCGGTGTGATGGTCTGGTCCGGCTGCTGCCAGCATCCGTCACCCTGGATGAAGGTGAGACGGATGCAGATACCTCTGTGAAGCTGTTCTGCTCTCCTCGTCGCTAGACCCAACCAGACTTTCAGCTTTTCACCCACAAAATAAAAGTCTCTGAGGCGGAGCATCAATGGTTTCATGACAGGACCATTACTAAAGGCCATTTCACAGAGAGTCTCGCCAACCGAGCACCGAGACTTCAGCTGGCCCACAGCTCGGCAGCCAGGTTACTGACCAGTACCAGGAGGTCCGAGCACATCACGTCACAACCAGCAGCCTTACACTGGCTCCCAGTTTCCAATCCAGTCACCTTTAAAGTGCACGTGGCTCCTCGTTGATCTGATCCACTCGTGCACGCGCCACGCCCCCTTTGATGACAGCACCCAACATAGACTCCAATCATGAGGGAGCCGTGCCTTCTCGATCCTGGGACCGAGGCTCTGGGTTGGGCCACCGGCAGATGAGATCGGGCCCTTCCGCTCAGCCGCTTCAAGAGCCGTGCACAAACACACTTTTAGTCACGTTGGTGGACGCCAGCGGCGGCTGACGTACGCGTTTCCTCTACGATGGTGCACAGCGCTTTGTTTGGCCCGTGGGCCGTGGGATGGTGCTACATAAAGCTAAACATGAACAATGTACGTCTCATCCACTAACCACCAACTACTCATGAAGTTAACTGGATTCCTGTAAAACTTCCCAAACCCGGACTCTGGGAAATATAGGAAAAATGTTTGGATGAACAAATCTGCACAAAGGCTAAAAGTTTATTTCACAGACAGACAAAAGTAGGTTGAAAACTGCTTAAATCGCTAATCTAACACCAGCTGGTGAATATTAAGTTGTGTCAACAGAATATTTCATGTAGAGAAACAAACTTCCCAACGGCCGCACGAGGACAAACGCGGCAAAAACACAAATCTGGTTTCTTCTCGTCACCAAATCTGTCAAACTCGAGACATGAAGCTGAACCGACGTGCCGGCTCGTTCTCTCTTCAACACGTGTTCAACTTTGGCTTTTGCACTTTTCCAACACTAAACGTGCAGCTTCGCCTACAGTAAACCCCTCTGCGCCTGCCTGCTCGGGTCTCAGATGAATGAATGCTTCTTTTGTTAGCACCCAAGGCGCTGAGGCACCAAACGCACCTCCACTTGTCCCGAAGGACTTCATCCACTGAAACACAATCTGCACAGCCACTTAAGACCCCCGCTGCAGAGAAGAGGAGCCTGCGAGTCGCCGCCGCATGAACGGCTCCTTAATATGCGACAGATATTCAAGATGAAGTACTTGACGACACGCTTGGAAAAATCCAATTTCCTTTCTCTGTCCCCATCCCAGTGTGATAGATTTATTGGCACTTTTCTTTCTCATACAGTAAACGGAGTCGGGAATAGTTCAGGTACCGCGGAGGAATGCTGGGACCTTATATTCTGTAATCCTCTGTCTGCGTGAGCGAGTGAAGTGCTTCCTGTAGCCGGTGCTGAAACAGGGACTTGAGTAAGACCAGGGGTCGGGTCAGAGGTCAAAAAGAGCACTAAATAATCTGCTTTGCATCATTACGCACAAGCGTGGTGACATCACCCCCCCCCCCCCCCCCCCCAATAGAAGGGCTTCATGGACCTCCTCTGGGGGAGGAGCTTCAGGTCTGGATGTTCTCCACACAGCTGGGAGGAACAGAAGCCGCTGGCTGGCTGTAAACAAAGACGGAGGTTGTGTAACGTTATGCAAGGACAGCTCGCCCCTGCCCTCAGATAACCTCCGCTGTGAGGATCCACAGATGTCTCTTCACTGACGAGCGTGAAGCCCCAGAGCCGTCATTTCCACCAGGCTTCTGTCTTTAGATGTAAGGAGACTGAAACTCGCCCTGTTGGCGACAATCAGACGTTTCCTTCAGCAGATTTATCAGATCCTTCCCTTTTGCAGTCCTCAGTCTGCTCACATTGAAACCGCTGCCAGATCTAATGTTTTTATTTTAGCCGTCAAGCACCCGCCAGCTCAGAGGCCGGCTCAGACTTGTCACGTTCAAAACGGGAATGTCACCAAACTGTAAAGACTTCCTGTCAGGAAGGCCGGGCTTCCTAAATCCTGGAGGGACCGAGTCATTTACACCCTCCTCCCTTTTCTCACACCGGCATGGTTTTAACAAACCAGCGCAGGAAAGCACAGAAACTGCTAAAGGAGACTAGAGAGTATTTACTATCATCATTCTCGCTTATGAAACGAGTCAAATCCCACAGAGGAGATGTTCAGGGGCCTTCAGACAAGAACTCCTTCATCTTGCTGCAAATGCAGCTGGACTCTGAGTGAACGTGTGACTTTAGCTACGGCCCAAAGAGACTGATCAGGAACAGAAAACGCCAGCATCACTCAGAGCCCGTCCTATTAGAGACCACGAGTCTGCAGCCTCCAGCGGCTGGAGCTGCAGCACCCTTCTGAAGGCTAACGGTGGCCTGGTGGTGTCATGTGACCCACATTCCAGCACAGAGTCAGAGTCAAGCACAAACACAAGCAGACTGCACCTTTAAACTGGCTGGATGGCTCTCAGATGGAAGGAAGCCCAGACAGCTCATTTCTCTACACGTGTGTTACACCATCATGGATCCAAGTAATCACGCTGAGGTCATCTCCTGCTGTGATGGGAAGTCTGATGCTTCCTAAAAGGCTCTGCTGGTATTCCTGTTCAGGTCGGGAACCCTTCGTCTCTGGCAACGAACCAGATGAAGAAGTTCAAACATCAAGCATGTCTGGCATGAAGACAGAACAGAAAGATTATGAGAAAATTCTTCAGATGCCTCGAACATTTCAGGAAAAGGCCGGCATTCCTCGATGTTCCCGTGGGTGATGACGGAACGTAAAACGCTTTGGGAACGAGGAGTCACGGCAACACAGACACAACCTCCATTAATGATCAGAAATAATTACCAGCTGAAAATGTGAGTGAGAACGAAACCGAAGCTGATGTCAAACAACAGCTGCTCCATCCTAACAGCTTCACACCGATCTGCTCCGTCTGCAGCCGCAGCAGCGAAGAAGACCCAAACATCCCATCGAAGAGCAGCTACAGTCATTTTATTTGGCTTAAACCACTTTTACATAAAAGTGTAGTTGTGGGTCTCAGCACAGTGAGTTACTGGTCTTCGTGTCTTCAGGGTGAAACTATCTCACCGAGGGTTTTCCCGGTTCACACAAGGCTCCTCCTGTGACTAGTTTTATTTAAGTTTGCAGAAAAACGCTAAAACATTCATGCAGGAAAACAAAATCATCTTGAGGGTGACAACAGGTCTAAGTTGCATAAACAGAATGTGCAGCACCAGAGTCCAACAGCGAAAGACGATCAAGCGGCCTTGTGGTTTCACCACGTCAAAGGAGCTGCAGAGGAGCCAAACCGGTCTCCCAGGTGAACAAACAGACCCCGACAAGTCCAGGTGCTTCCCAGGGATCCTGCAGCCTGTCACTCAGCTTCTGTTTACACACGTCCAAGCCGAGGCCGTCGTCACTTTCCAGCGTTCTCGTACGAGTTAGCTTAGTGCTGAGTGAAGCGGCGAGCTGGGAGATGAGGCCTCTAATTAGTTTCAAGGCAGGTTGATAATTGATCGTCTCTCAGCTAGCTCTACCATGAAGGGCCTGGCGTGATTAATAACTAAACACGTCACGCTGTAAACCTGCAGCAGATCAGAATCATCACAAGAAAACAAAAACAGAACCGATGGAATAAACATGAGGTTTAAAGTTTTGGGTCAAACGCGTTCAGGAGGCTTTTCCTGCAGAAACTACTGAACAGAATCAGACTCAAGAAAATTCCCTTGATGCTAGAATCGGCGTTTCAGTCATGAGGTAAGCAGTGCTGTCACTAGCATTCACGAGTCAAGTAATGAAAACATCAATGTTACCGAGCAGTGCCGTTTTCCTCGTCAGCCATAAACAGGTAGAAGGCCTTTAAAGGAGACCGGAAGCTTGTTTTTAACACGGAGGCGAGAAATCAGAACACCCTAGTGGCACGCACCTGAAACCGTAGAAAAGCTCACCTCAGACATCGTCCTCCCACAGGAAGGGACGACCTCACAGCTTTAAAACCACATCTTCACCTGGCTGAAATGATTTACAGGCATCACGACAGAAAGGGGATAAGCCCCGCCTCCTCCCAATGCTCTGGTTTGGCTAGGACGGCGTCTTCATCCTCAACCCGAACCCAGGAAAACAGATTAGTGTGCATGTTTACTTTAATGCTAAAATCTCTCTAAAGTAACAAAAAGACTGCAAGTGTGTGTGTGTGGGTGTGTGTGTGTGTGTGTGTGTGTGTGTGTGTGTGTGGGTGTGTGTGTGTGTGTCAGGCTTTTCATCCAACCATCATCACCTGACAAGAAACCCTTAAACCATTCTCTCCACATCTAGCCTAAACCAGCAGCTGTCAGCACCGCTTTAGCCTCGTCTAGCATCATAGGGGGGGGGGGGGGGGGGGGGGGGGGCTCATATCCTCCAACAGCCGTGTGTGTGTGTGTGTGTGTGTGTGTGTGTGTGTGTGTGTGTACATGATGACAGACGCGTTAAGAGACGAAGCAGCAACTTCATCCCTGCCTTGAGGAGACTCGAACCAGCCCGAGTCAAAGACAACTTGAATCTGTTCCATCGACCCGAGCAGCAGCCGAGGTCCAGTGGACATTGTGGAACTTGGCTCCAGGTTTAAGTGGATCCTCAGAACCAGAAGGCTTCGACCCGTTTTTGCCTTCTGAACTGCAGTTTTCCTTCATGGCGTAGAAACTGCGAGATGTGCCGTCATCCTGACATGACCACATCAGCTCCATTCATGATGAGAAGCTCTCGTTCCACCGCATCCCAGAGGTTCTGGACTGGCATCTGGAAACTGTGGAGGCTGTTGGAGGTGACACTTGGTGTGGTCTTCTGGTCTTTAGAGGAACTGGGTTCTGTCTCCCAGGCCAGACCAGTTTCCCCTTCTCCTGACATCAACGGGACATTTTCTCCCACACTCACTGGATGTTTCTGGGATGGTTCTGAAACACGAGTCCACCTGGACCATGTTCTCCCAGAGTCACTCTAATGCTTCAGCAGGTCATCTTCACCACCAAGGTGCTAAAGTACAGAGTGCTTCCATGTGATTGGCTGACTGGGTAAAAGGGTTGGTGTGTAACTGAACCGGTGTGCCTAATAAAGCGGCCATGGGTTTGCAACAGACTCCTGATCTGTTTGCTCAGCTGCAGTCATCGCTGATCATCTCCAAACCGTGGGTGGAAATAAAATCCCAGCAGGTGTGGAGCCAGGACCAACCGGGAGTCGCCTTGCGTCACGAGACAGGCGCCAAAGCAAACGAACGCAGACGAGAGCAGGAAGTAACGGGAAGGTGAAGGAACGGGAGCCGCACACATTTCAGCATGCAGCTGTGAATCAGAACATGACCTGCGTGTGTGTGTGTGTGTGTGTGTGTGTGTGTGTGTGTGTGTCTAGTCTCCAGCTACAGCTGTGGGGTCTTCCACTCATGGATCAGACCGGGTCCTGCAGCACATCTTCAGCCTCAGGACACCGACCCGCTCTGGAGAACTCTCCGAATGACTTCCAGGTCCGGGATGCTCCTGCCTGCTCCTCTTTCCTTTAGGGTTGCTTTAAAAAGACACGATTAGGTTACTGGCAGCCGCGCCAAAGCAGAAGACCAGACTGAAGCTGGGTGACCCACATCCGTGAACTCAGCACCAGTAATCCTCCTCAAAGCAGCAGAAACAACAAACATTCAGGAAATGATGTTTAAACCAGAGATCAGCTGAGGGTGGCTGCAGCTGCTTCATGAGACCACAGGTGTGCCTTATCTGATCAGGTGTTCCTGCTCTTTAGCTGCTGAAGTTAGGAAACACACACACACACACACACACACACACACACACACACACACACACACACACACACACACACACACACACACACACACACACAGGTGATGTCGCAACACACGTGGACTGCTGTTGTGGTGGAGATAACGAGTTCTGCCAGTCGTAACGACTCTCCACCAACAGCTTTTGTTCAAACGAGGAAAAATTCTGATTTCTAGGAGTTTCCTGTAAGCACGCGCACACGCACGCGTCTACGCGTTGATCTGATTGGGTAGAAATCACATTTATTCTAAGGAGGTCTGACCTGGACCAACTTTACCAACCTTCTCCTTGTTGTCGGGGTCGGGGGGAGGTGAGGTGGGAGACTTAACGCTCCCCCCTGCTGCCGCCTGGGTGACGGTGACCCCCGCTCCCGGAGCCACCGGGCTCTTCTCGGTGGTTTCCACCTTTATCAGCCGGTGCTTTGGAGACACGTATTTCATGTCCGACGGCACCGCCGCGTTCAGGCTGGAGCCGAAGGGGACGTTTCCGCCCGGGGTGTAGGGGTCTTCGAAGTCCAGCTCCTTCTGTAGTTTGTAGGCAGCGAGGATGTCCGGCTGCGCGGAGCTGGGGAAGGTGGCCCCGGAGCCAGGCGCACCGGGAACAGCGGTGTGGCAGTGTCTGTAGTCCGGCTTCGGAGGCGCCGGAGGAGGTGCTTTGGTGGTTTTGAATCCTAGGTGCTCCTTGAACCACTTGGCCATTCTGCCAGCTCATCGCTCTGAAGTCCAAAGCTTGTAGTTCGGATCCAGCTTCCCTGCCAGCGCAGCCGCGACTCTCCCAGCTTGCTCCGGTTAGAAACTACGGTGGGAATCCTCCCCGGGTCACGGCGCGTCACCGCCGGGCTGGTGCGTCTCCGGCCGGCGGTCCGAGTCCGAGGAGCGGAGCGCGCATCGGCGGAGCGCAGCCACAGGCACTTTCTGATCCCTCCAGCCGCAACCCAAGTCACTATCACACACACACACACACACACACACTCTCTCTCTCTCTCTCTCACACACACACACCGCTCGGCTACAGCGTCACTTCTCCAGACTGCGCAGCTCAGGAGCGCTCGTGCGAGGCGGAAACTCACGCCCTCCACACCTGAGAACGTTCACTGCCACCTACCGGACTCCTGGAACTCCCTCAGCCGCTGGTGCTGCCTCGAGCCGGTCTGGTCCGAGAATACACGTATTAATACACTCAGTGTGACGTCAGGGCAGGTGAACTAAGACGACTACAGATAACTTGGGTCCAGACCAGAGAACCAACACAGTTTTAAAGCTCTTCGTGAAAACTGGCTTTAAACTTCTCTTTGTTCACATCTAATCAGCCAATCACGCAGCAGCACCCGGTGCCCCAGGCCTCTGGATCTGGTGAGGAAGAACCAGGCTTCACAGTTGGATAAAAATCTGATTTAGATCACTTCTATGTGTTTCTGAGTGCTTCAGCAACAGCCCATCCACTGCAGAGCTACATCTAAGGTTCTCGGAGAACTAGTCAAGAATAGATCAGATCCAGAGAACACCAATTAACGGTGAAGATATGACAGAAGTGAGAGTAGGATGGGCTCAGATCAGCACTGGTTCCTCCCAAGGCCTGCAGAGGCACACCAACAGCTCCAGGTGGACTCCAGCAGCAGAAGACCTCACCAGGTGTCCCTCCTGTCAGCAAGAAACTGGAAAACCTTCCCTGGTCTGATGAGTCTGGATTTCAGCTCCTAACCCATCTTCTGATGTTACTTCCAGCAGGATCATGCACCACGTCACAAAGCTCAGATCCTCTCCAACTGGTGTCTAGAACATGACCGTGGGTTCACTGGACTCCAACGGCCTCCACAGTCTCCAGATCTCAGTCTGGTCCAGAGGCTTTGGGATGTGGTGGAAGAGGTTCTAATCCTGTTGTCCGGATGGACCAGAACCTCCGATGAATGTTTCTATCTCCATCAATCCCGAAGAATATTCTAGTAAGGTGTACCTACTAAAGTGGCCAGTAAATGCATTTTACCTTCAACACCGCTCTCAGTCTTCTCGTGTCCGGGCGGCCACAGCAGTGTTTTAGTTGTAATGAGTGGAAAGGATGCTCCAGCCGTCTGGGTTCGGTCCTAGCTAAAGCCGTGAAGAAAACACACAGATGAGCAAAACTGTTCAAAACGTCAGCATCAGAAAGCCATTTCCTCCAAAGGTGTCTTTCAGACTCTTCAGATGATCACGAGGTCCAGTGCTGAACATTAATTGGCTTTCCAATCGAAGGACAAATGGGAGAAAAAAGTCCCATCTCAGAGCAGGTGCAGGAGTCATGGCCGCAGCGCAGCAGGGTTTATGAAGCAATTTTTCTTTTTAACATCGCCGCAGACAGAGCCTCGAGCGCAACAGCGTGCACGGATCAGAGTTTAACGATGGCAGGCTCCCGGGAGAGACAGCTCATGCTCTGAACATCAACAGAAAATCTATTTTTACTTTTTCAATCTTAAAATCATTGCTGCACTTTGGACATGTTTGGAAACCAGAGCAGTTCTCATTGACTGTGTTGGAACGGTTCCAGATTATTCTGATGAACCGTTTGATGAATGGATTTGAGATTCTGCTGCTGGTGAAACCAACAAGGACGATGGTCACACGCTTTTAGGTCGCACAGGTGCCAGATTCAACAAACGGTGGAGTCGAAGCCAACTGCTGAACGTGAAGCCAGCGCTGATGATGCTCGGCTACTATCATACAACTGATGAGTTTTATGTGATCAGTTTTCTATCCACCACTTCCCAAAAGTTGAATATATCGCTAACAAACAGGCAGGAATAAACATCAGAGCCTGTTTCACATTTCTTCCTCCCATTGGTGCACGCTCAACGCTGCGTTTCCTCTTTCATGTGGCGAGCTAAAAATAAGCCGGCTGCAGTAGAGGTGGGCAGGCGCAGGTGTGTCGTTCGGGTTATCTGCTGCGACTCATCTCACATCTTTTCTGCGCATTGTTCATCCAGCTGCCGTCGCCGGTACTCTTTAAAATGTAAATCCTG